AACCCCAAAACCCCAAAACCCCAAAACCCCAAAACCCCAAAACCCCAAAACCCCATGGATAAAAATATTGGTATAAATAGCAGGATGAACATATAATCTAAAATACATATTAATTTCTCTAAATAAAGATAAGACACTCAACCTAATAGTCGCTATCTATTGTCATTAGTTCTCGCCCTCTCACTTCTTCTTTGGCCTTCTCTCGTTTACCTTATCCAATTCCTTTGCCAAAGAGAACTGCTTTAGAACTATATAAGTTGAGTGTAAAAGAATTTACCGTTTTTGATTGCTGGTTTTCCTTCTAGAAGAATACCTCTAGGTAATTTTCCGTCTGGACAGATATTTTTAATCTTAAGTAGCATCTCGCTTTCCTCTCTAAGAGTGGTGTACATCCTGGACATTCTTGCAACACTGCTAATCTTTCCTCTCATCGCAAGCTATTTCTACATTTTTTAAGTAATACCATCCTTGCCTATCATGAATTGTATATCAATGCCATCATCAATATCTTCTCCTCCTTTTTTAATGATGTTATAAAGCATGTTTGTAACTTTCTCCGCTAAAAATGGAACAGACCATGAGAACACATCCATGTTGTCTGGAAGTCTGTAGGGTGGCTCAGTCTCCTCGTATTGCTTTAGTGACAGGTTGCCTTTGTCAATGATGAGCACTGAGGCTTTGTTCTCGTAATAACCACAATAGTTAGGGGCTGAAAAGATAGTGATAACATATGGGAACGATTATGGCCCGTCCCAGCGATGCATTTTATATCCCTCAATTTAAACTTGATGCCCTCTGACAATTGTCATCAAATTATTTGCATCCAGTAGCTTTTTAGTTGGCTTCTTTCCGAATAAATAAGAGCATTCTCTCTCTTCATTGTCAATGAAGTCTTTATTGTTTGCAAGCTCGTCTCCTAGTGGATCAGACCAGAGTAAATCACAAAAAATACCATCTAAGGGAACTTCCATAAATCTATTAATTTTTTCCAGTTGCTCAACCTTAGCTAGATCTGGAGAAATACCTCCATGCATACCAAAATACTTATTATCAACGATGCATGCGATTGGCATTGAATCAAAGACTTCCATGAAGATGTTGTACATGTCTATATCATATCTATTGATGACTTCCTCTCTGAATGTAAAATTTTCAGTCATGTTTCGACTCTCATGATTGCCTCTAAGAAGTATAACATTCTTTGGGTAATTTATCTTTATGGCCATAAGCAGAATCATGCACTCGAGACCAAATATACCACGATCTACATAGTCTCCCAGGAACAAGTAGTTGATGTCTGAAGGAGGGCCAGCTTTGTCAAGCATGTGGCATAGATCATAGTACTGGCCATGAATATCTCCCACAATTACAATAGGTTCTCCAATCCTGCAGAGATTTGGCTCCTTTTCTAACAAATTATCAATCTAATTAATGCTGTTTACTCATAATATCCATAGCAGTCTTTGAGAGCAATACAACCTATGCTTTGCTGAGTTAACCTTCCCTCAGGAGGAATTGCTTTATGAGTTTCCAGTCGGGTTTTGTAGCGTCAGCCCCTATATCATTATTTTTAATAAATGCTCGGATAATAGTTTGTAATATGGGACAATTAGTACCTGAAAGGGGATAAAGATAGGAATTTTCAAGGGGTTTGTTTGGGGGTGGATCGATACTCTTGGCGCTTCTATCTCCATATGGGTCTGGTAGTAAACTTAATTTGCTAGTGATTGATTCGACCATTTCTAGACAAGTCAAATAATATCTATTTATTTAATTACTTTTATATTTGCTTGTTTAAAGTATTAATTTAAATAAATTGAAGTTAAAGGACACACAATGTCTACAACTCTAATAACATAATTAAATAGTCAAGCTCTAACGCATTCAATTTCTCTTTTTATTGTTTATTCTTGGATAAAGGGGTTTTGGGGTTTTGGGGTTTTGGGGTTTTGGGG